CGCTGACGGGAGCCAATCAGGAGAGCCTCGGTCTTGTTGACATTCAACTGAAGAAAGTTAGCTCTCATCCAGGACTTGATGTCCGACAGACATTCAGTCAGGACAGCAGTGGTCCTGGAGTCGAGGGTGGAAAATAATTCAAAGATGGTCATGTACATAAGTAGTTAGTTAGCTTTTACACTGGCAATATAATTGCTTTCACTGTATGAGTGTTTGGTTTTGGACCCTCTCTTCAGTTTGATTGGGATGGTTACAACTGGGCTTTAATCAGCTCAGTGAGGATTTCTTCTTATTTTTTTTCTTTAGTTTACATTGCTCTGTATTGCACATGTGATTTGCAGCAATGTTGGGCAATGATCTACGTCACAGCCCTTTGCTTCTGCTGTTCTGGCAGTAGGACTGTGTGATGAGGTTGAGGTACATTGTTCTCTGTCTGGAAAAAGTCATATGGCAAAGTTACAGGCATTACCATGGTCGAGCGGGCTGATACTTTAACAGGTTATTTTATCAGGACAGATTTTTAATAGATGGAAGTGTCAAGAAATGTAAACCAATTCTTTTGATTTGATAAATGCATTCCATTTTGTGGGAGTGTGGGACACCTGGAGAGTTGCTGGCCAGGCATACAAAAGGAATTCTTGCATAAGTCATCCATTTCTTACCTCGAGACATCTCTTCCTTATGTCCCCTTCCAGCTTGGCTCAGATGATAACACTTTTGTCTCTGGTTCAAGCCCTGCATTGGTATTATAGTTCAGTCTAAACAGACACTCTAGTGCATTTCTGCATTGTTAGATGTGCTATTCTTCAGGTGAGGTATTGAAATGAAGTTCCAATTGTCTGTTTAACATACATCTCCTACAGTACTATTTGAAGAGAAGGAAATTAATCATGTGAAATGCCTTGTGGTTTTAAGTGCTTTTAAGATATGAATGCATTTTGATAGTTCAACAATCTTACAAGTTCTTGCTTTTTCACAAACAACATTGTATTTATTTTAGTCCCTTGAATGGATCTTTGCTTTTAGTACATCACCGACTGTTAAATAGTTTTGGCCTATTGTCCATTTTTATCAAATTAAGTTAGAAAGCTGGCTTATTGGTTCTACTGATTTCTCTTGGAAGAGATTGGTGATAGGGAAACGTATCATAGTGTCTAATATTGAAGTTTGAACTTCATGGCAAGTGGAACATGCAAGCCTCAAGCAATATATTTTTTAATGCTGTTATTGATCATATATTCTTTCACAGGTAAGGGAAGGGTGGTCTGGATATCGTCTTTTGTCTCCTTTTGGTGTACAGCTTGATGTTTTATGTGTAAGTAATGCACCTCGCTGGCAGACTGGACCTCAGTTTAACGTCTCTTTCAAAGGATGGTATCTCTGAAAATGCAGTGATACCCCAGCACTGCATTTTTATCAGTCGCCACAACTTGAAGTTTTTTTTGCAATTTATAAAAGCATATTAGGGCAGAATGCTGTTTATACTCCTGAGTGTCATAATTCGCAATAGATTTTCATACACTGTATCTGAAGCCTATTAAATACAGCACCTTTTTTCTGCCTAAATAAGATCTATCTCTGCGTCCTTCTTAAACCCTATCAACCCGCCCGCTCCCGTTGCTCGGGCCTGTCTGCTTCATGCCCCCATCCTGCTCATTCCACCATTGGCAATTGGATTTTCAGCCCATCTGCCCCCACTCTCAAGAATTCTACCCCAGAGACCATTTGCCTCGCCCCTTCCCTCGCCTCCTTCAAGGTCCACCTCAAGACCTTCCTCGTTGACTGTGCCTTCGATCATCTTTCTCCATCCTCCTCACCTTCGTTCCCTAGGTCTCCACCCCTTATGAATCCAACCCCCAGCAAGGGTGCAACCCCCCGACTGTCCAGCTCCTTGGGCTGTCAACCGGCTGTGGAAGGTGCTACATAAATGTAGTTGTTGTTGAAGGACAGAACTGAAACTATTGCTTTGATTTCATTTTTTCTGAGGCAAACATTTTTGAACTGAAACTTATTTATTTGGCTAGTTGATAGACTGAATGTCTGATACCTGAAGTAAATGGATCATTTTGCAGAAATCCAGTTTATTGCATTCTCATGTTGAAACTATGTATCCCTTATGTTTGTTTATGTGAGTTTCTGGAGTTTAAATCTGGTCTAAGTTACAGTAACTCCTGCAACCACACTACAGTTCTTGCATAAATAGTATAATCGCCTAAGTCGTACATTTACTTGAGTTCCATTCAGTTTCCTCTCAAAATTACTTAGATTTCTTTGCACTACTTGCTTTATTCACCTCCTGACTCATAATGCATACTCTCCATTACCCCCATGCCAAAAAGAGCAGTAAACCCGAGGATTGGGAAGGCTTCAGAGGCCAACAAAGAAAGACTAAGAAACTGATTAGGAGGAAGAAAATGGATTGTGAGGGCAAACTAGCTAGGAACATAAAGACAGACTGCAAGAGTGTGCAAGAGTAGTCTCTTCCTCTTTATGTACAAATACATAAAGAGGAAGAGACTAGCAAAAGTGAATGTGGGTCCATTACAGGCAGAGACAGGAGGAATTATAATGGGGGATAAATATATGGCAGAGTTATAAAACAAATACTTTGCTTCTGTCTTCACATTAGAAGACACAGAAAACTTACCAAAAATAGAGGGGAACCAAGAAGCTAATGTTGGTAAGCAACTTAGGGAAATTAACATCAGTAAAGAATTAGTACTAGGGAAACTGTTGGGATTGAAAAATGACAAATCCCCTGACCCTGATGGCCTGCATCCTAGGGTTTTAAAAGAGGTGGCTGCTGAGATAGTGGATGCCTTGTTTTTGATCTTCCAAAATTCTCTGGATTCTGGAACGGTTCCCATTGATTGGAAGATTGCAAACGTAACACCACTATTTAAGAAGGATGGGAGAGAGAAGATGGGGAACTGTAGACCAGTCAGTCTGACATCGGTGGTAGGGAAAATTCTAGAATCCTTTATTAGGGACGTCGTAGTGGGGCACTTAGAAAACCATAACATGATTAGGCAAAGTCAACATGGCTTTACAAAAGGGAAGTCATGCTTAACAAATCGTTTAGAGTTTTTTGAGGATGTAACTTGATGTTAGATAGGGGAGAACCAGTAGATGTAGTGTATTTAGATTTTCAGAAGGCATTCGACAATGTGCCATATAAAAGGCTGCTACACAAGATTAGGGCACATGGAATTAAAGGCAATATATTAGCATGGATCGAAGAGCGGCTAACGGGAAGAAAATAGAGAGTAGGGATAAACTCGTCCTTCTCAGATTGACAAGATGTGACTAGTGGAGTGCCACAAGGATCAGTGCTTGGGCCTCAACTATTTTAATCTATATCAATGATTTAGATGAGGACATAGAACTTAAAATATCTAAATTCGCAGATGATGCAAAGCTAGGTAGGAGAGTAAGCTCTGAGGATGACACAAAAAGATTGCAAAGGGATATAGATAGGTTAGGTGAGTAGGCAAGAAGGTGGCAGATGGAATATAATGTGGGGAAGTGTGAAGTTACTACCTAGGTGAATAAAAGCAGGAAAGCAGATTAGTTTCTAGAGGGGGAGAGACTAGATAGTGTTAAAGTTCAGAGGGATTTGGGTGTTCTTATACACCAGTCACAAAAAGTTAGTGTGCAGGTGCAGCAAGCAACTAGGAAGGCTAATGGCATGTTGGTGTTTATTGCAAAAGGGTTAGAATACAACAGTAGGGAAGTCTTGCTACAAGGGGCCCTGGTGAGACCGCACCTAGAGTATTGTGTGCAGTTTTGGTCTCCTTATTTAAGAAAGGACATACTCGCATTAGAGGGGGTACCGCGTAGATTCACTAGGTTAGTTCCTGGGATGAGGGGGTTGACCTATGAGGATAGGTTGAGTAAACTAGGCCTATGTTCTCTAGAATATAGAAGAATTAGGAGTGATCTTATAGAAACATATAAGATTCTTATAGGGCTTGACAGAGTAGTCCGTGCGAGACAATTTCTCCTGATAGGAGAATCTATAACTAGAGGTCACAGTCTTAAAATTAAGGGACAGCTCTTTCGAACAGAGTTGAGGAAACATTTCTTTACTCAGAGGGTAATGAATTTATGGAATTCTCTACCCCAGAAGGCTGTAGATGCTGAGATTGATAGATTTCTAAGGGATTAAGGGATATGGGGATAAGACGGGCAGATGGAGTTAGGTTAGAAGATCAGCCATGATCTTATTGAATGACGGAGCAGGCTTGAGGGGCCGAATGGCCTACTCCTAATTCCTATGTTCCTATGTTTACCGGCTGCGTTGAATTGCAGGAAATGACGTCTTTACCAGTTTACTTGTGCACTTACTGCATTGAATCGTGGGAAACGTAGTCTTGATCCATCGATGCACGTGCAGAAGAACTTAATTTCGCACAATTCCAATGCTTGCACATGTAAAGCTTGTAAGTGTGCGTGCAACGGTGGGTCAAAACCACTACATTTCCTGCGATTCAATGCAGCTCCATGAGCACATACCGACTGCATTGAATTACGCATGTACATTGCAGATTATTGATTAATTTGGATTTTATACGATTTATACAGTTTGCCTGCATTTCAGACTTCACGTAAGTCGTATCAAATGTTATCATACGCGTGCTCCACCTGCTCTAGCCTGCTTCATTCGTCTCACCTGCTCCAGCGAACTGACAGATGTGCTTTCAGACACTTTGGCCCTTCTCTTCTGAAAGGCCCTTCCTCTTTGCTTTTTCAAGCCCACTGATCTTTTTGACTAAGTCTTTGTTCACCTCCTCCCAGTCGTCTTTGTAAAGAGCTTTGAGATGGTCTCCCTTTATGAAAGACGCTACATAAGTGAAAATTGTTTTAAAGTTGAATGCTCACTGGAATTTTTTTCCCTGTTGCACACATATTATTTCTATCAATGTTGGTCATTGTGAAAAATGTGCTGCTCCATAGAGGTATAAGAAATGGAAACATTCAAATAATGTCTTCTTTCTCAGAGAGACTTGCTGCTATAAGATAAAAGACAAGACGTATAAGATAAAATGACGAGCCTGCTTCACTTTCACGTTTAACAACGAATAAAAGGTACCATTAAAGTTCTAGGTTTATTTTTGAAAGGCTTAAGCTATGCTAAACATGAAAAGTACATAGAATTTCAGTTTTTGAAAGGTTTAAGCTATAACATTGCATTTTGAAATTCTAATGTTGAAATTCTTGGGCAAACCTCACTGAGATTAATCCATTCTACTGTAGCTTCAATCCACATGTTGTCTGTTTGCTGCAATGCTACATTTAGTTTGCCTAAGTTGTATTTAACTACTACTTAAATAATAAGTAAGTTGCACTTGCTAAACGGAGTAAGTGATAATAATATAATAATCCTTGCATTTGATATAGTCATATATAGTGATATAGGCTTTTCACGTCTTCTAGACATCTTCTAGACTATGTAACCATGGAAGCAACTGTCAATTTTCTATCCTCCCCTCCTGAAGTTTGACTTTCCATCCTTTGGATGGGATATTCAGATGGACATTAAAAGCTGTACATTTCTAATGTACATTGCATCATGGGATCCCTAACCTGAGATGGTCAGGTCAATTGGACAGCACCCTGCTGCCTCGGCTAAGGTCTGTTAACTCAATACAGCCAAGGAATAAACCTGTGTTCTTTCTGATCAGACAATCCAGCTCTTCACTGAATAAACTCACTGACCTTTTGGCATAAATTGAGAAATAGTGAAACGCTTCAAATTTGGATGCAGTATTTTGGCTCTTCTTGCTACAGATACTAACAGTATTCATATTGTTGGCAGAGTTTTGATAGTGCTGAATAGAGCGATTGTTCATGGGTCAACCTTTTGTTTCATTACGATGACTGCTAATCTGCTTGCTATTTTTTTTAAAAAAAGCACAAATGTTTTTGTTAATTTGAGGATGGGCTCAATTCACCATGAAAATATTCGTAAGTTCTGTTTGAAACTTACAAAGCTCAGCTGTGTTTGTTGGTTTTAAAGATGGAACAGATTTTGTTTAATCTATTTCAGTATTTTTCAATGTACATAGTCACTACACTTTGCACATATTCTGTGAAGCACTTTTAGATGTCCTCCTGCCGTGAAAGATGCTATATCAATGCAAGACTTATTTAATGGCAATGCAGCTGTAAAGATTGCCAACACGCTCAATATAAATGTATGTACTTAAAAATACAGAATATGTTATAAATCTAAGCACATAAAACAATCGAAAACATAACTCCGTCTTTCACAAGTGTTCCTAGAATATCCTGTGATCTACTTTTTGTAAATTCAAAGCACTTGATTTTCTGTAGTAAGAATGGGAAGCAGACAATTATTAAAAAATGGTCTGGAATATAAAAGTAAAGAGGTGCTTCTTCAGTGATAGAGAGCTGTCCACACCTCATTTGGAGTAATGGGATCAGTTTGGGCATTCATTCATAGATGGATGTATGGTCTTGAAGGGTGATGTCCAGTACCGGTTCACTAGATTAATAACTGGGCTGAAGGAGCTTGGTTTTGATGGGAGGCTAAATAGACTGGGAAATATCCCCCAGAGCAGAGGAGGTTAAAGGGTGATTTGTTTGAGGTTTTTAAAAAAATAAAAGGAATTGGCAGACTAGATAGTGGACGACTATTTTCATGGTGGAGGGATCTGTTAAAGGGGGATGTATTCTTTATCTTAGAGCCAAGAACTGGAGTCAGAAAGCACTTTTTAGAGGGTTATGAATATGTGGAATGCTCTTTCCCCCGCCCGCCCTCAAAAGCTATTTTTGTCATTGGTGACTTTGGAAGCAGCAGTACCTCTCACATATTTACAGTAGCAGTGCCACAATTTAAAGGCAGCAATAGATGATCTGGATCACTGTAACTGGTTACTGATCTGATGGAGGAAATGACAATATTTACATAACCATTTTTGCTACTAGCAATTCTTGTGTTCTAAGAAGCTGTGAATCGGAGTTGTTTAAATGTGTTTTGAAAATTCGTGTAATTGGTCAGGGCTCTTAAGAATTCCAGCAACGACAGAATTTTTAAACAGAATCGCTAAGCTGGTCTAATATGCCGAGGAATTTGCCGTGTTCAGTGTTCTTGCTAAAGGTCTGGATAAATGCCAGCCCGATTCTCCAAAGAGTATATTACTGATGCCTTTGGAGGATTGAAGACGCTTCTTCAGATGGGCCTTGGCGTCTGCCTGGATAGTAGTGGCACCTTGTTTATTTTGCACCACTGCTGTTAATGTATCAATTGGCCGCTTCTCCTGTGAAGGTTCCTCTGATAACTTGTTTGGTTCATTGAAATGTGCATACAATTCTGGATATGTTTTCTCGCTGAACACAAACCGAAACTGTCACTTACTTGCCAGTCTCTAAAATAATATCACTTCACATCATGCAGTCCTGATTGTGTGGCTTGATATTGGTGCCTGGAAACCGACATTGATGGAGGAAGATTTGATGGGCTGGTTAGATATTGACGCGCTGTGCTTTAATAAAGGACCATTGAAGTAAAGTGTTACCTTTTTTATTTCCCCACCCTAAATATCCAATTATTATTTTGGAGGGGTGGGGTGATGCCCAGGATAATACCCATACGTTTCCAGGAAAATCGCATGCAACCGGGTGGGTTCTGGGAGCATGTGCATCTATCTCATTGTGTTCAAACAACTGTTTTCTTGAAACGAATACTGATTACACAATGAATTTAGCTAAGTTTTGTTTTGTCATATTTTTACCCGTCGTTTGACACACAAAACTGACCCCCATATTGCATTTCTACGCAGGTTTTTAAGTTGTGGGTAAACAATGTTCTTTATGAATTATTAAAGTACAAATACCAAGACCATTTTGTGCTTCTTGTTGGCGATTCTGCTGTGGCTAAGTTAAATGGTTACTTGGCAACACAATAGGTTATTAAACTCTGGACTCGGGATCAGATCCTTATCTGATTACCAACCAATACATCTCCACATTCCATTTTTCCTCTTGTAATGCTTTTTTTACATGACTGAGTATTCAAACTGTTAATAATTTCTTTATGCCACTACATTCTCATTATTAAGCCAGGTGATGCCAGGCATAGGAGTGGAGGGGCAGTGAACTTTACATTGTTTGAATCGGTGTTCGAATTGAGCAATTTTTGCTGCCCAGAATAGCTGCGGTATTTGACTGCATAGACATCAACCCAGCATTGTATTGAGCACTTTCAGAGGTTTTAGTGTGATAAGGTGCTAAATCAAATGGAAGTATAAGCAGCAATGTATTAATTCCCTTAGATAATACAATGACTTCTCTGAGTGCCTTTTTGGATACATTTTAATTTCTGAAATGTCTTATTTAAAAGGGTCAAGATTTACGCTTTTGCTAATAAAGATGCTGAATCTTTGAAACATGGCCCTTGTGTTTTCGTGCTCCAGGAGATTTTGAGTAATTGGTTGCTGCCTTAATTGCCTGTAGAAATCATGCAGGTATTCAAAGTGGATTTACATGATTTGAATTTTGTGTGAAATAAGTCATTTCTGAAGCTAAAATTTGTCATTTTTAAAAAGTGGTCAGTTGGATAGTTCGAAACTTTACCCTGAGGTGTGCTGAATGTGTTTAAGCTGTTATTATTTATTGCAAGACGTCTACCATAGGTACTGTTAGTACATCAGTGTACTGCCCCACAGTTTGCGAGAATGGGATTTATATTGGAGGTTCCCACAGCATTATCACACTCGTGATCCATATACTGTATCCTGAGATTATTTTCTTGTAGAAATCTATCTAATTTTTTCTTGAAACAGATAACATTTTCTGATTCCATTATCTCCCTTGGGGCCTGCTCCATAACTTTATTACTAACTCACTGAAGTAGAGTTTCCGCAGATTTGTTCTAAATTTACCCCCTTCAATTGCAGATCATATCCTCTGGTTCTACTAAGCCAAATAAAACAAGATAAAACAGCTAATCATAGTCTACATTGTCTATTCCCTTCAGAATCTTAAAGACCGTAATCATATTGTGCCTCAACTTTCTCTTCTCCATGAGACCTTTTTTATTAAAAAAAACCTCCAGCCAGTAAAGATCATTAAATCTGATCTACGCCATTTGGTGCTGTCTGCAGTCCTTCTCAATAACAAACATTTTATTTCACATGATTTTACTGGAATTCTTTTTAGGTCAGCTGGGTGTCTGACACATGTGAACACCCATCACCATGCTTAAGAGTATTCAAACCAAACTGAGATTTTCATGCATCTCTCCTCCCCATGGAAATCTCAGAGATAATTGTTGAAGTGGAATGTGCACTCTCCCTGGAAGGACGCATCCTACCCACCTAATTCCAGAAAGTCTTAGCCACAGATTGGCAAGAACCAAGGCTCGAGGACCCCAGAGTGTGAGTTGGGGTACTGCTGGAATCGCATAGCTTGATTTTACTGTCCGGCAAGCTTTCCCACTGCTTGTCCAGCTCGGACCACCCTACCAGTTAAAGCTTTGGCTTGCAGGGTTAACAGGAGCTATGGGATGAATCCCTGTCTCCAGTGACTGGTCTGCCCTTCCAGATCCTGCCGATGAGCTGTGCTATCATCATCAGTGCCCTGGAATACTGTGGATCCACCTGGCTCAGGAACTGGACTTCCGAGACCGCCCAGAGGTCTGGCTCAATTCCGACATTCCATTGCCAGGCACGTCACCTCGGAGCCAGTTCAACTCCAAGGAGACCCTGCACTACCCCCCACTCCCCGCAGGAGGATTTTACTGTAAAGTGTCGTGACTGAGCATAGTATTTTGTATGCAAAATACCGCAGAGTATTTTGTTAGCGTACACTGAAGCCAATTTGTAATAACAACAATTTGCATTTATATAGCACCCTTCACGGAGGGTAACATCTCGGAGCACATCTTGTGATCCACAAACAGCCATGGAGTGAATGACCTATTTTATCTGGGGATTGTTGGCTGGGAACCTTGCACAAGCTTAGAAACCGAATTAACAGCATTAATTTGCAATTGTAATGCCCTTCCCGTGAGACTTGGAGTACGAAATAAGAAATCTGACCCTGGAGTTTGTCCTGCTGTTTTA